CCCTACTCCCCCTGGTGTGCCCTTTGGCAGTACTCCAGTAAACCCAAAGCAGAAGAAGTGACGTCAGCAGCTTCATTTGCCGAATCCACCCACAGGAACTCATTGCGGTGTGAACGCGATCTGCTTTGGTCCATCAGAACTAAAAGAGTTCTCATGAACTGAGTTCTCATGAACTATTGTGGGAAAATAACTTGGTGTGAACGCCCCTCATGATATAAAAAGTCTTACCTTCTGAATTATCCTCGTCTATCTCCCCACCCTCCTCGTGGCTCTGCTGGGAAAACATCAAATATTGTGAAATTATTTCTGAAATGTTAGGGCTGCACCGTTGTAATATGAAGCATGTTAATTAAAATAGTTCTTTAATAGCTGTCAATTAATTGTACTAGCCCTAATATATTAAGTGTACTTGTATTACATTAATAAAAAATACTGGTTACCATGCAAAATCCATATCCAAGTCGTGATATACACAAGATTTGTAACAAACACCTTACCTATTTGTACCAATCTTTGTTTCAGGATGATTTGAGTTATTTTGTGTAAAAATATTGAAACACAAAGATGTCTTCCTGGTTAACAAAGTATTTTCTTTGACATACTCTAATTTCGCATCATTAAAGTACTTCCATAAAAAGGGGTTACATTTCAAAGGTCACAATGTCCTTTCCCTAACAAAATAATCTCTATTTTAGAATATATTTTAATTTAGTTTAGCACAGAGTATGTTTTGGTTGTTTCTGTCTTTTTACAATAAATGTAATGCTCAAGTTAGCAAGTTTAGCACAAAGAATGGAAATGGGAAGGAAAATAATCGATGGGGGGGGGGGGAGATCATGCTCGTAAACTGTTAGTGCCGGTGTTATGCATGCCCACAGCGTAAAGCGAAAACTCACGGGCATTTCAATGATTTGTACGGCAAAGTACAGTTTGGAAACAATATCATTTCCTATTTGGCCGGGATGCACAACACGGCATAACACCGGAGCCTCGCTGCGGGGAAACGTTGGCGCTGTTCCGAGTTAATTTGTTTGTTCTAATCGGTCAAAATGAGAGTGCTTTCAGATTTTTCCGTCATTGTAAAAAAAACTGTCATAGACGGAAAACATTCGGTTCACGCGACCACTGATTCTGAATCATATCTACTCACTGCACGGATACCAAGCATCTCAATCTATTCCTACAAACATGGGTGTGAACGTGTTCTCCTCACCTCTACAGCTCCGGACATGTCTGTAGACGTGGGGGGGAACCCCATGGGAGGTGGTGGCACCATTTGGCCTGGTGGGGGGTATCCATAGGGCCCGTAGTTATAGTTGTAACCGCTGTTGCAGGCGCTGTACTGGTCATAGCCTCCCCACTGAGGGTAGTAACCCCCCTGAGCCCCGCTGCCTTGGCTGCCATAGTAACTGGACTGGGACTGGTTGTAGTTGCTATGGAAATTTTGGCCCTGGCCCCCATGGTAGTTGCTCATCTTTTGGCTGCAACATAAGAAATACAACGCAATACATTAATACAAAGGTTCTATTAATTGATCCATCAACTATTAAACGGATAAGCAGGTTTCAGCAAAAACATGTTCCTCCAAAAAAAATCAAGTCAAACATTTAAAGTTTATTATAATGTAATGTGATGTATAATTGGGTTTGCATATTAAAATAAAAAAACAGTTGGTTTAAAATGTCAATGCAATGATAACAAAAATGTATTTACAAAAGCTCTTTTGCTTCAGCGGTGCAACCCCAAAACACCTATTGGGTTCTATTAAAGCCCATTTTAACCAAAAGCAACGTGAAAAAAAGAGGGAAAAAACCCCATTTTATTTCCCAAGCAAATCCTTGAAAACGGATAAAATACAAGTCTCAATAAGCCTGACACGCATGAACACACAAAGAGGCATTGTCAATAAACATTATATGATCTTTGGCATAGCTTGTAGTCTGGATACTTTGCCATGTTTCATCATGTTTCCTGTCCTAGTTCTCACCTCTTTGCCACAGCAATGCTGAGTCTGAGCGGTTTTCCCCCGAGCATCGTACCCTGGCACTCCTCGATCGCCTTCTTCTGCTCGCCCTCATCCCCAAACTTGACGAAGCCGTAGCCTCTGCAGGTGAAACAACCGTTAAACCTCCTCTCCACTCCGACACACGCTCCATACTTGGCATTTAATAGCCACTTATGAAAAACAGAATAGAATGGGTATTATTATGGTAGAACTGAAACTTGTTGTTTTACTTTTAACATGAGGTAGCATCACTTGAATTGTGAGTTGCTCTTGCTTAGCCTATATGGGGAAAACAATAGTTTTAGCAAGACGGCACAAACATTTCTTCAACCTTTGTTCGAAAAAAGATGAAGATGTACTGGTGGTTTTTAAATCACACAGAAACCAGGAAACATTGTTGTATTATTGTATATTTCTTACAAATGATGAATAAATCAACCTATTGTCAATCTTAATAATAAAAATGTCTGACGCTGTCTGGTCCACCTCTATGTGCCGACGTACCTGGAGTATCCATACTGATCAGTAACTACTTTGGCTCCCTTGCAGGAAAGGTACTTCTTGAAGACTTGATGCAGTTGGAAGTCGTCCACCTCGGAGGCCAAGTCGCCCACAAACACTGAGAACTCCGGCCTGCGAGAAGTAACAACGTTGAATATATATTCAAACACAGATACACACTGTATTAAAACATTAAAAGGGGCAACTGACTTTGGGAATTTAATTTGTGTTACGTTTACCTGAAACCCTGAAAAAAATGAATGAGTGCCTTTCCTACATTTGAGAAATAACTGTTTATTAAGAGAAGGCCTTGGCGTTCATTTGAAAAGATTTCTGAACCTCTTAAGTATGGAAGAAGCTGCCTCCTCCCTGTTATATTTGGTTAGGCCACATAATATGCAATGGGATACGATAGGGGCATTCCTGGAAACAAACCATCTTGGCCAAAAAAAGAACAAAAAAAGAATACAAGTGAAACAAATGGAAAGTTAATTTGGAACCGGAGAAAAAAGAATACTTTTATTTTTTTATTAATAATGAAAGTATATCTATGTTATAAAAGTAAATCATGTATTAATACAATGCCATGTGCATGCGTATAATTGAACTATATATATAACTGATATAATTGAACACTGTAACCCCATTACCCGCTATCATCTGGTGGTTAAAATTGTACATCAATCAAAACACAAATAAGTCGTCTTTTTGATAATAACAAACAGAAATGAATTGACTTATATCAGATAGAGGATTTAGGCAAAGCTCTAAATAGTCGAGACTTTAACACTCGTACACATTCACACAAAGTAATACAGCCTAATGTCAAAAACAAACAAAATGTGTACTGGTAATTCATCTCAACATATCTTCAATGTTTTCTTTTTCAAACACATATTTTTTATTAAGGGTTATGTTAGTTTGACTTTGTACACATTTCCTCAATCTCAGGTTATAGGTAATAGGTTTACTGAGGCTTAAATAATAGCTGAATTGTAACCTTTTGTGAATAGTGTGAAAAATGACTTACCCTGCCTCTGGCCGTTTCCCGTAGGTGGCATAGTTTAGCTTAAATTTCCGGGGCTGCAAAGGGGAGAGAGAGAACACACACACTAAGCCAACGTGAAACACCAAAGACTTGTAGTATAGCACTGAAATTGCTGAAAATAGAGATCAGAGTTATTATGGTTGTTGTTATTTGGGTTTACATACCTCCACCACCCAGAGCAGCCTTTAGCCCATTCCTCAGTTAGTTCCTACCAGAGACTCTATTCACCAGCTTCAAACAAAGTACATTCATGTACAAGCAGCCTCTCAGCCACCTTCAGCAGTAGGACAGGGGAGCCCAGTAGCTTGGCCAGCTCACAGGGGCCAACAGCATTTCAATTCAGTAGCAAGCAGCTAAAGCCCACAACTTTACACATGTTGGATCATTTCAGACCCTTAATGAGGTTTGCTTTTAGTGCAGCTGATAAAGAATATAGTTTTACTTATCAATAAATAAAATGTGTTACTGGTATTTAATGTCGCTTATTTGTAAACACTTACAATTAAAACCCACAGGGAAGGCAGAATAGTGGTATTTTCTATTTATTTTTTTAACACAAACAGAAAATTGCAGAATCTGGTCTGTTACGGAGCCAAATTACAGCCTCATAATATGTTGACTTATCAACAGTCAGTAGTAAGAGTAGTGCAAAAGGAGGACCAAGACTAGTGGAGCTCCACTATCCACAGTCAAATCAACAATAAAATACTGCTTGAAAACATGGACTAATATTGGGAAAAAAATGAAAGGCAGTATTAAATTTGTAATAATATATGAATATTTGTGGAGAAACAATATTGCAGTAGGGATTGAATGAAAGGAATAACGGTAAGTATTTTGAAATTAAACCATGAAACTGACCGGGTTTGATCCAGGAACAAGTTTTCCGTTTAGTCTTTGGACACAGCGGTCGACACTTCCTTCATCTGCAAGCTCAACAAAGCAGTATCCGGCTGAACCACTGCAAGAGGACAGAGAAAGAGAAACATTTAGTATTACGGTAAATAAAAAACATTAAAACCACCTTAAAAAAGCAACCTGATTATTTAAAGGGTATGCTATAGGTTAGCCTTGACTAGGGCTACCCCCAATTAGTCGACTATACGTTAGTCGGCGAAAAAAGTATTTGTTGAAACATTTTTCATTAGTCAAAACAAATTAAAAAGCTCCATCCGTATGCTGCATCCCCTCAGACTTCATTCAGAGCTGTGCCTGGTCATTGAGTTAATTTGGTCCAAAGTGTGGATCCTTCTGAGCATGTAAAGGACATGCAGACTACGACGGCAAAAAGTCTCCTCCATATACACACCATCAGAGCGCAGCTTCCTGAATGCAGGCTTATACCGCTGACGGGCGGACCGCTGCGTCCGTGCGGTGCGCTGGGACCATCGTGCACTCTCTACATTTGATTTATATTTCAAAAGATTCATTATTATAGTTTTATTTAATATTTTATGTGAAGCACAACGTACCATGCTTTTATAATAACGCTCTTTATCAGCCTTTGAAACAGAAAACATTTTGAACTTGCTACCCCCTGATTCGAAGTTCAGCACACTACCCACTGAGCCACAGCCTCCAGTTAGTTTACATTAACGTTGGATAATAACACGGGAGAAACGTGCGGAAGCGCTCTCTCCCCCTCTCTCCCTCTCCTCACAGCCTGTCAGTATCGTCTCATGCAGCTCCCTGATCCAGTAATGAGTGACCCGACAGTGAGTAATAAAATATATTTATAACTTTAGCTTGTTCCAGAGGTAGATACAATAGCTAAGTGTGTTAGGTCTAACTCTTAGTGTTGCTCCGCTCACCGGTCCGTCAACAGCGGGGCGGAGCGCAGATTTCTACCTTCACACACAGCGTTGCATACCGCTAAATTTATTGTCTTTTTCGGACACCTTAAATACGCCAGAACTGGTGAAGCCATTTTGGCGAAGCTTGTTTGCCGCGCAGCAGAGAAAAGTGTCATGTATTTTAGTTCATGTGATCGGCTCTCCTGATCGGCCTTTATAGAGCACAGATCAATCGGCCGAGAGTGAATATCGGCCGATCGATCGGAGCATCCCTACATTTAAGCCAAAGCCATCAACCTCTGCTCGACAAGTCTGATGAGGAAACCTACATCTAATATTGTAACAGTTGTCCTCAAAGCTTGAAAAGAAGGGCAGGTGTATGGCATAATGTGCTCTGTATATCTTACCCTGTTATCCTGTGAGTGATGATCTTTACTCCAAACGGTGATTCTCCCATAGCGCTAAATGCCTGCTTGATGAAGTTTTCATCCATGTATGGGTCCAACTAAACACAGGAAAGGAAAGTGGAGATTCCTTAGATAGCATTTAAGACAAACGTTTTAAATATGTTTGTCTACATCGTCATATGTAAATATCTTTATTTTCTAAAGACTGTAAGAACATTTGTATAATATTGATACAAAACCAGCGGGATATTTACTTACGCCTGATGATACTACAACAATTGTGAAGTGTGAATTAAATTGTCAAATTAGATTATAATTGAAAAAAAATGCGATTCATCACTTATTTTATTATAGCCTTTTTTTTAATTAAAATTGTCACTAGGGTGTTATTATTAACTTTAATGATCTCTCTCTCTCTCTCAGTTCTATTTTGGTATCCCAAAAAAAGCCTTAAGACAGCCAGAAAGCACAATCCCATACCCAACATACAGGGAATGGGGCCATTCATATCAATGAAAACTTAAACATAACGGCTCTTGCCTCGAGAGACGTCACTTCCATTTCTTGTCACGATGAAATGCATTGGGCGAATTCTGCATTATAGCATTTAAGTAAACTGTTTACGTGAGCTCGTAAGAAGTCAATTGTTCGCTAACGTTAACGCCTGCTTCAAGGTGATGAGTTTAGTGTGCTTTTTTCACACAATGTTGGTTACTATTGGCGGAAAAAGGTATCGTATTGGTAACAAGGTATATAAATATATATTTTGGTCTAACCTTTTAACAAAAGGGGCTACATATTCGGGGCTAAATGAAGGTATCCGAGCTAGCAAACAGCATTCGTAGCTAAGCTAACCACACTGAAAGAAAGCTGTTGATAGATACATACATCACCCATCCACAGGCTGGTCTGTCTGTTAAACATCTTGGAATTTGGACCGGGGGTGAAACTGTAGAGGGGTTCGTTGGAGATAGATGGGGGTGCAAGAAAATGCTAAAGTTTACAACGTTAAGAGTTGTTGATACGTACAAGCTAAACACATTGGTAGTTCCGCTTCCGCCCCCAGGTCATTATTTAGTTTGTATTGGCGGTTGACAACGAGTTCAGAGATGCATTACCGCCACCAGTGGTGGAAAGTAACAAGTTCATTTAATCAAGTGTTGTGCTTTATAATAACAATAATAATCATTCAAAATAAAGCGCTGTATAAATTAAATGTAATTTATATTACAAAGTCAGCGACCTACATCTACTCAACTCTGTGAACAATTTCCACAAGAGCAAATTTGGATGAAGTGTCCAGTCTTGCTCAGAGGTGGGAGTAGTCATTTGCAAGTCATGAGCAAGTCTCAAGTCTTGATAAGTCTCAAGCAAGTCCCAAGTCACTGTGGTGAGAGTCAAGCAAGTAAAGTCATTGCTCAGGTCAAGCAAGTCACAAGTCAAGTCATACGTGTCCGTGTGTGTGCGCGCGCGTGTGTGTGTGTTTGTGCCATGGTCTGTGCCAACAAATCCTCCAATTCATACGACCAAATAGGTTGATTGTTCAAGCCCTTATTACGACCAGTGGCGTTTTCTCCCGGAGGCCAAGGGAAGCCAGGCTTCCCCTGTTTTTTCGGATTGTACTTATAATTTAAATATATAAATAAAAACACTTTGTTTTGTTTCGATAATTCTCCTTTGCTGTGTGTTGCTGCCGGCCCGGCTATGGGATTAGTTTTGTATCATAAAGATAAGGCAACACTTTCTCAAAATAAAGCAAAACTATGAGTTTAAAAGAAAAAAAAACTGAGTCAAGCAAAATAAAATAAATTTCAAAAATAAAACTATAAGTTGCAAACAAATCATTGGTGTAATCATGTAAACTATAAGTCTTTTTTCTTTGTTTTAACATAGGTTTTTGTTTGCAGTTCTTGTTTCTTCTTTCTCAATGATGAGACTTTTGGTCTCGCTGCAGCTTTCTCTTTTGCGCTCCCTCATTTTTTGTTTGAGATTCTGACACAAACCTCCCAGGTGGGCGGGACTTTCAGGGGTGCGTCCCCATTGGCTACTCAGTTTTTGAGTGACAGCCCAGTCCTCCAGCGATTGTACAGTGCAGGCAGCTGCGGTGCGGTGGCTGCCTGACCGTGGATAGAACACCCCCAGAAGAACCAGCATTTCAATTATCATAATACTACAAGTGAAAATATATGTAAGTTTTGATCATTTGTGTTGTTTGTGCTGTACTATACGGTCTGTTTCTTTATTGTGGTAAGTGAGAAGTAAAGCTGTGCTATGAAAGTTAGCTTTTGGTACCTTTAAATCCATAACAATGCAAGCTCCTAACAGTTAGCTACATAGCTAGCAGTGAGTGAGCGTTCAGACACCGGCGCACACACTCAAACTGACTCGTGTGCCTGACTCTACCAACAGGCTTTCATGATTCTGTTTAGATATGCAAGTATAAGCCATGATAGCTTATTTTATTAACAAGCTAATTTGATATGAAAATCAATGGAGGCTGAGTTAATTTTGTAGGAAAACCTACCGTCCATGACTGCCCCTGAGCTGTGTTTTATTTGTTAACTTCATATTTTTCATTTCCTAAAACCAGGGGTGGCGGGTACTGTAAGTTAGGGAAGGCTAAGCCTTCCCAAATATTTGTGTCACTGCATCCTGGTAAAATAAAAAT